CGTAAGCTACTCGAGCATTGGAAATGCGGGCGGTAACTTCACTGATTATATTACCGTCATTTGAAACGCAGCTACCTAAGCAGGTGAAACATTCCACTACAGCTATTTTTTGACCATCAAGCATCAGCGCTGGGGTAGACGACACCCAGTCTTGTAGCATAATTTTGCACTTTGAAGGTGCAAAGCGCAAGCCGAACGGAGATACAGAACTTGCTAGTCTGTCAAGAGCGCTTTGCGTATCCTCCATGCATTCGAACAGGTATACGATGTCATCAGCGTACTCTAAATCACACAGCTTTCCTCCAGCTGCCCATTCAATACTTCGCTTTTGGAAACCACTAAGTGCCTTCTCCAGTACTTCGTCTACGACAAAATTGAACAGGAATGGAGAAATACGGCACCCTTGACGAACACCGCTCCTGGTTTTGAACAATTTATTTGGTCCACCGTAGACCCTTACGCTACCAGAAGTATGCAGGTACAACGACCGCAGTAGGTTTACATACTTCCGCGGCATTCCTTTGCGGAGCAGCGCCCCCAGAAGAGCTTCACGGTCAACTGAATCGAAGGCTCCTTTTAGGTCAAGAAACACTGCGATTGTTGACCGACGATGTGTGCGACGCAGTTCGAGGACTCGACGCAGAGTGAAGATTTGGTCGATGCACCCGCGACCTGGTCGGAATCCGGCTGGTTGTTCGGGGATATTCCTCTCCCTCAAGGGTGTCAGGCGGCGCAGTAGCATCATCATCGTACAGCGAAATACAGTGAGGCGAACTTCACTGATCGCTGCCAGACTCGCAATGCATATGCATTGGGGTTTGATGGACGGATACTGCTAGGGTGTCCAGCCACTAAGCAGTATCACAGAAGTCACTTTTGTGATTATCGGAACTAAACTAGCGCAGTCGTTGGGTGATCCCTTCTTGAAGATCGGGACTATCAACGATTCACCTCAGGACAAAGGGATACGCTCCTCCATCCAAATGCTGCGAAGTAAGCTAGTAACTGAGTAGACAAGAGAATCACCGCGCACCCTGAAAATAATAGGGAGAAGCCCATTAGGTCCCAAAGCCTTCCCGTTCTTTAGTGATTGAATGCAGCTTAGTACTTCCGATTCTGATGGGGGCTTGCATGTTACCAACCATGGAGTTTCCCCTGCAATTGCTGGAATGACCACATTAGCACTAGACCAATTGAATTGTTCACTAAAATACTCTGCCCAGTGATCAAGTCGTTGTTCTTCATTGTGGATGCTTTGTCCACTTTTATCGCAAATGGTCTCACTGACCTCCAATGCTGCGTACCAGGTAAAATAATCTTTGACTATTCCCTGATGCGGAAGTTACCTCCATTTCACTAGCTATTTCGGCCCGCCAATTTTCACGATCTTTCTTAAGGCTATTTCTGAGTTGACATTGCAGGCGACACCGGTCTTCATGCTAATCCTGGCAGACTGGGGTCTTTTGCTTTTGATGTCCTCTTTAATCATCACAAGCGGAGATCGACAAGGTTGTCTGGCTTGTTCCTTCATCTGTTTGCCAAGGCAGGTAATGGATGGAAAAGGTAAGGACAGGTCAAAGTCAGACCTCGCAGGAGGGCATGAAAACCCTAACCCAGAGGCTCTCTTGCTCACATAGGTCGCGTTAGGCTTCCTGAGTGGGAACCCCGCGAAATTGACATTGAGTGATATGGCTGTGTCCTAAACAGTAAAAACTTTATCATCAAAAATTTTCTCTATTTTTCACTCGGACACTAAACTGAACATTCTAATCCTCCCTTTATCGTTTCAGCCAAAGTAACAACCAAAACCAGCGAAAGATGTGTTTGGTGATTGTGAAAACTGAAATTGAAAACCTCCCACTCGAAGTTCGCAATCGACAAAATCCCAAGCAACGCTCTGGAAAACTGCAGGGCCTCCGGTGTAGAGATTTTCCCCAGATGATTGAATTTGTGACTTGGAATGTGTAGGCGACATCGTCATACTTTGCGACTCCTCCCAAGACATTCAAGACGTTCTCTTCAAGATAGCGTTGTCCCTCACAAACGCTGCAATGACCTTTGCTTCATTGAAATGTACGGTCTCATTAACAGACTGGCAACAGGCGACACCTACCCTCACGCTCATGAGCGGCCAGTTATAAGTGGCTGCTCACTTGATTTATCTTGGGAGTTGTTTCAGTTCAAAAGAACTGACAGAAGAAATATCAATATCCGTAGTGCCTGTGTGGCTTCTGTTGACCGACATCACTTGTGACATCGACGGGAACTCGGCCTTTCAAGGAAAGACCGAGTCGACAATGCCATCATGCGCACAGTCTTACTCTATGGCTGCAATAGCTTGCTCATTCACGCAGAAGACGTATGACGATCAAGAGTTGTTGATTATCGTTACCTTCACTATATCGTCATAATACGTTTACGACAGTGAATCAACAACGATGAGGTTACCCCAAAAAACCTTCGCTTCATATAAACTTAGTCATTCTCCTCTAAGTGCCACCATCTCGCTCCAAAGAGTTCGGTGGCTTGAACATGTGTTGTGGTTGCCGGTTCAACGACTACCCTATTGTGTCGAGTTGAGGCAAGCCGACACTACCTGGAAGCAGCGACAATGAACAACCTGGGCTCAAACGATGAAGGCGTAAGCCTTAAAACCGACTGTTGTAGAACGCTCTAGGCTCCCAGGGTGGACCCCGAGGATAACGAACATCAAGAAACTAGCCGACATGGATCATAACCGGTGTTAATGGCTATGTGTTGGGAGACTGAGTCACTGATTCGTATTCAAAACTTTTTCGCATTTCTTCCTCCATATATTGAGACACATTCGTCACTACGAAGTAATTGATTGAGTTGAATAAAAAAAGAAAAATAACATCCATGGAGACGATCGTAGTGATAAATATGAACTCTATATGGTATTGTTAACCTTTTCGTTATTCGCTGAAAGCACATCGAAAGTTCTCGGTTTTCACTTTGAATATCAAAGGATGTTAATTCTTGAGCATCAAAGCACCAGTTTCAATTAAATTCAGATTCAATAAGTTGGTAATTAAAGAAAACCAACCGATTGGGACAAATGAACCTAAATCAAACGAAACAAGCGAGAAATTCACAATAAAGAAAGGAAATGAAGATTCCCACGAGGTAAAAACAGTAGTTCGGGATGAAACTCAATGAACTTTAAAAACGGGCGCTTACTTGAAAAAGTCATCTATTGAAACAGGAGCTAAGATTGTCTCAAGTTCTTGTTTTCCAAGTGACACAGGATCCTCCAAATTCCACTCGATTTCGGAATCTTCTGAAGACGGAGCTGGCAATAAGGTGGGAACCTGCTCATCGGACTTAGATTCGGATCTCATTTCTGGTTGCTGTTCTGATTTCCCATCAGTACGTTGTTTTTTAATGGATTGCTGATCTTTAGAATCAGTGCTAACAGGACTCTCGGGACAAGGTCGCTTTTGCCCCACTTTGGCAGATTCACCGGACTGAGAAACAGCAGTCTGGTTTTCTTGGACAGCCTCACTCGCCTTGAGTTTCTTTCGCAATTTGCGACGCTGATTGCGGCTTAGTTTTCCGGGAGGTACGGAACTATCCTCGTGCTGAGATTTGTGATGTGCTAGACTGGGTTGATCTGTGTTTGAATTCTGCACTGCAACTGCTTCTTGCGGTACAGTGGGGTGGTGGGTTTTCTTTTTGTGTCGTTTCTTGCCTGATTTTGTAGTTGTGGAGGAGTTATCAGTCGAAGCGGTCTGTAAGAGGGATTCCAAAGTGGGTGTATCCGTTTTCGTATTGAGCGTCCGTGTGATCTTGTCGATCAGGGCAGATGCCTTGGGATTGTTGTCTAACTTTCCCTGCAATTGAAGTAATACAACATTAACTGAATCTGTATCCAAAAGGGTTACGCAGATAGAGTTGCTTGAACATAAGGATAATCGTGGTTTCTCCGCCGCCCGACGAACTAACATCGATTACAATTATGCTCCAGGCGATTTGCCACTCAAAAGCTATGGCTGCCGGGTAGCAGAGCAAAACGGTGGGTCGTTGTAATCAAAGAAGTTCGCTCTAATTGTTGTTTCTCGTGTAATGGCGCGTGAAAAGGTAAGACAGTACACATAAAGTGTTGCTATTTTCGTATATAAAAAGATGATTGCGCCATGACTTATTCCGCACAGTTTGGTCTCAGATGTATATATATATATATATATAACCTTGTTAATAACACGGGGTGGCCATTGGATAGACAGCTCTTTCAGAGCTAGTCCAATAAAGAATCAATGCTATGATTCGATGTTTTGTAAGTGGGTTAGATGCTACTAACCGTCACAAACGTGACCCGATGGTCTTGGTAGTATGTGAATGACTGGACAAAATTTCCCTGGAAGCACACGACAGGTTCCGCGGTTCTTGCCGCTCGTCAGGTATGCATATCCAGAAATCTTTTATCAGTTCATTCATATACTTGTACCCAGGAAGTGTATTTTCGTCACAATAACCTTGTTTGCAACCAAGGGGTGGCCGCGCAGTGGTTTAGTCGCTATGATCGGCGTGCTTTGAACGTTATGGTTGGATGGCGGTCGGATAACATAATGAACGTGTTGGTGAACTGTCATCAATGGCGTTATTTCTTTAAAACCACACTAAATAGAGATATGTGCGTTCAGTTAGACTCTGTAGTTTACGGTGCAGACATCTGTTTGTTTAACTTTTACTATCCCCCTCCTTATGTAATGAATTTCACAGACCGATGGAAAGCGCAGCGTGATAAAAACGATGACGATAGTCGCGAAGATCTGCTATTCAATGATGGAAACCAGCAACCTATTCCTCGGGACTCCGTGGCGAACCACATTAGGCCCCGCTAGGTCAGGTGTGGTATTGAACCAGACGACAGCAAGGTTGCCCACCATCAAAGTTGGTTGTTGGTGGCAGGGCTTGAACCTCGGATCACAGGATCCAAAGCACGCTAGTGACAGTGACTAAACCACCACCACACCACCTGAGGTTTTCCGTCAGTAAACCTTGTAGCCGTCAGCGGAAACTTCAAAAATGAAATAGGATCTCTAGTTAAATCTTAAAAGGCAAAAAGGCTCCACTAGAGATCCTCTCCAACAACACGGACAAGCGGAGTCGCTTTCACTATGAGCAGGGAACGAATTATTCCTA